GGGAGTTGAAGTCCACAAGTCTTAAAGTTGCCAAGGTTGGACACCCCTGCCCTAGTGTCTATGAATAATAAACTAGTGCTTTAAAATACAGCCTAGCCAAATAGCTCACTTATGAAAGCCACTTTTTATTATTAATCAGTCCCTTTTAAATGAACTAAGATGGGCAATTATTCAGCAAAGATCAGATTATGCAAAAATATGATTTTTTTTACCTTTATTTGTACTAAAATTTTCCATAACTAGAGCTCACATAGCCCTGAGTTCAACTATATTTAGAGTCTGTTTTTACTGTGTATTTCAACATGAAAATGCATTCACATTCCTTTTTTTTTTTAAGGCCTCTTTCAAATGTACTGTATTTAAACACCCCACAAATATATTTTTCAGGATATAAAACAGACTCATTTGTTGGACTCATGGGCAAAAGATCTTTAAATTCTGGTATGTATAAACTATAAAATGAAACTCAAACAAAAACCTACTTATAAACAATTTTTAATTTTAATTTTTCAATACACAGCCTTCGTACAATATTTAAGACAAAGATAGATAACCTGAGTTCTCCAAGAAGTTGCCCATAGTCACTTTTTATGGAAGTAACATAAACAGGAAGGATGGTCTTTGGAGTCCAAAACCATTCAAAAAACACAGGTTCCTCCATGAATTTCTTCTTTATAGGCACAATTATTATAAATGTACCTTTCTTATATGATCCTATAGATCTTTATGAAATGAGATCAATTTTTATGTTATACAGCATCAATTCCCAGTTCATTATGATGTAATTTATAAATTTGAAATCTGCTAGTCTATCCAGGGGGTATGTATTTTTAATAACTTAATTAAAAACATTTTTAAAACTACTGAAATATTTTAAAAGAAACAGTTTCTCTTATTTCTATAAACCAAACCATATCATCTAATGATTTTGCAATTCTTTAATGTATGCCAAAGGAAACTATTTTCTGAAATTATAATTATCAAGTGCTTTATATTTCAATCTAGCAGTATTGAAAGCTGCAGCATACCAAGATCATATCTTACTTAGGTTTACAAATTACTTTGAATCATAAGCAATTAAGGGAATAATTTATCTGAGAAAGATAGCCATTAAATGCTCTTGCATTTGTAAATACCAATTAACAGAGCTGAGTTTGAGATGAAATTCAATTTGTATTGTGATCATATGTTTGAAAATATAAAATAATAACAACTATCGGTTTTTAAAACTTTTTTTTTCAAAATTGCAATAGGACATAACCCTACTAAAGAATAAGTTCTCACAGCACTATTACTGTGAGCAATATTCTGCAGTTTCACTGTATTAACCAATATTTTATACCAGCATCCTCTACAAAGTCATCTGAAATATTTAATCAATGTTCTATATTGTACAAATTGCCTTAGTAAAGCAAGTTAATTATGCAACACAATAGATTGTGGTCTAGCTGTCAGGTTGTCTGCTAGTATAGATATAAAAACATTCAAACTGCTATTACAAGAGGCCTTGGAGAGTTCATTTCTAAAAGACACCATATGAATATTTGAATTTCAAAAAAACCTACCTTAAATAAATTGCTATTCTGTAGATATGTATATACAACTTCATCAGAATCAGTGGGGATTATTTTGAGAAACATACTATGTCTATAAATTACACTACTGGAGACATTAATATTTAGTCAGACTCAGGAGAATAAATTCATATCTTATTAACATATGAACATGTTTACAGTTTCAGTTCCTTTGTCTGGTAATCTAAAATAGTCACTAACAAATAAATCAGATTCTACTGAATGTATTCAGTACATTCATGTAAGTTTACTTAGGTTAAAAATCTAAACCAGAAACACATTGAACTGGTAATTGAAAAAGTGTCTGTGAAAGAGACAAAATAATTAAATCTTAAGATGTCAGTTCCTTTATTTACAGTGATGAAGGCCAGACTTTTAAGCATTTATGAAAACCAACAAAAAGTAAGATCTATCACTTGCCTTTATAATTGCCAATATACTAACACAATTTTCCCAGACAAAGATATGTAAACATGAACTCTGCAAATTCTCAAGCTGGTATGGCCATTTCTGAAAATTTTGGGAGCTAAATCTATACATTTAGAGATTATCCAGACTGAGGAAGACTCTCTTAAATCAACAGTGATTATCACTGTAAGGCAATTCTATGTTTTATTGTAAGTACTTTAAAAATCACCTAGTTTAGTCTCCTGCTCACTGCAGTATATAGTAGATGGTGAATAACGCACTTGCCATGTGATCATAGAAATTCCTCAAATGAAAATAGGAGGACCACCTTATGATGCAAATAGTTCTTCGAACATTCTGTTGTCATTCTGAGTGATAAAATCTTCAGAGGAGTCCAGAGTGCCTGAATAACATTGAAATATTTTCATGATCAATGACTTTCTAAGACAACACAAGCACAGAAGTTCTGAGGGATAAATTAAATGCCAATATTGGGGGCTAGTTCAGATGAGTTAAAATCTTTGAATCAAATTTATGTGGCACTTAAAATTAGGAAGCAACACTCTAGTTGTGGTCTGATGGGCACAGCTTACAATGGAAATTCATCACACTGAGCCTTAATTTTGAGACAAGCTTATCAGGATATGTAAATATTCATTATATTCAATTAATCTTCACTGTTTTGTTTCCTTGTTAGGATCTTCTGAATGGAGTGCCCTGCAAATGTTTGAAAGAAGACGCAAATGAGACAGTTTTTCCATTGTCCATTGAAATGTTTAAGTAGCCAGCTTAATGTAATGAAAAATAGCCATTGTAAGGAATATTTATTTATTTATTTATTTTTAAGATGAAAATTTCAATTACAATGATTTTCTCTATTGTGGCAGTGATGTATGCATATGAACATGGTAAGCTTTACAGTAATATTTTGAATGGAATATAGAAATCAGTGGTGTTTCACAAGAAAGCACATTATATATTGTGTGAAAAAATGTTCAACTGTAAAAAAAGTGGTAAGAATTAAGAAAAAAAAGAGAATCCTTTGTTAATTTAGTATTTGCTAAACCACCAAATTGGTTTGTGATCATAACAAAAAAGAAAAGGAAAAGCCCAGTAATTTCTATCATCAAAATTTGCACGTGTAGCATGTTTTTGTTTATTTTGCCTATATATATTAAAGAAATGAGGTGAATTTAAATGTCTTCACTTCATTGTCTGATACCTTGCCACAATTCACAGACATCAGATAAAAGTAACAGTCTATTCAGAAGGTTTTGAAATACCCATTTTGTGCATGAATATCATTAATTAAAACAGGAGCACCAGATCTCAAATTTTAAAAAAAGGAAAAGTAATGATTGTGAATTTTATTAGTGAATGATTGAGTATTGTCCATTAGTCAATCTTGACAGAATTTCTAGCACTGGCATTTATAGTTTTGCACTTAGCAAGTTGAGGAAGGCTGATCAAGCAGATTAAGAATGGTGCATGTTTGGTGACTATCTGGCTTTCAACTAATCTAAGCAACTTGGACAGGTGTACAGTAGGTTCAGGGAGCTTCTAAAGTTGTCTAAAGTTTCTAAATTTCCAAAGTTAATACAGTAAGATTTCAAGATTCACAGCTGAAGATAAAGCAGTTGCAGAATTTTCTGACTTCCTTGGGTTTCCTTACTTGTTATGTGCAAAGCAGAAGCACTGCCCCAAGAAAACAGATTAGGAAAGCAATGGTAGGATGAGAATCATAAGGATAAACTGCCGTTCTTGAACACATACTGTATATACACCTTGATTATATAGCCATATCATGATTTAGTTTCAAAGCTCCAAATGACTAAATAGAGAGAAATCCTTTCTGTTAGATGAGCCCTCTAATGATTCTCTGGATTTTTGCAAACAAGATTTGCTTTTGTGTAGCATTGCTGTCCCTAATGTAATGGAAATCATGTGAAGAAAATGCATCAATTTTAAGATTCTACTACATAAACAAAATAATGTGAATTACCTAGAGTTCTTACCACTTTTGGAACATATACAGTAAAACTGCACATCTTGCTTAGCCATGGTAGATCTTGTATGATTCACAGCTTCCCATGTTGTACCAAGTTAATCAACTGTGATTAAGCAAATAATGATATGTGATGTTATCTTTATATGAATGCACACTGAATATAAGCAGTCAGCACTTTTGTCAATTCTAAATCTACTGCTAATCAATTACTACAGTGAACTATAAATTCTAGTATGATGAATTCCTATTTTTTGTGTGAAGGAATGGAGTCCCAGGAATAAATTTTATAACATATTCTAACTTCGTCTTTGAAAACAGAGAAGTCTGAAGTTGCATTTTGCAAGCAGCTCAGTTTTATCATATACTATTTTGATCCTATAAAAAGTCATATCCAGGTTTAGGGGGGAGCAATCTTAAAATACTTTTCTTTAAAAAAAAGTTTATATGCTCTATTTGGATTGCTATAAACTGTAAGCCTATATAGTAGTTTAGCTAAAAGCTAATAAAAAACAACTTATCAATTAACCATCTGTATTTGTCTATCTTTGTCCCAGAAATATCAAGCATTTATTTTTCTTTAAAAAATGCAACAGATTCTAGTTTCCTAATCATGAAATATGATCTAAACAATATGACAAATTTAATAAAAAGTATTATTAAAAGGTAAGTAAGAATCTAACAAAAAAGAAGTAGGCACTTTATTTATAATTATTTTCTCCTATCAGATGTGTTTCCTTAGAAAATTAAGCTACACTCACATGGTTTAGCTGTCTTGATAATAGCTAAAGAATAGCTAAGCAGCTATTCTTTTTCTATGGAAAGAAAGCTGGCTTCTACAAACATAAGTCATTGCATGCATTTGAGATTCTATATCCCCCACCTACCTCTTTTTCTGTTCTTGGCTTTCAGAGATTCCCCTATTCTCTTCAAAGTGAATTGTGTGTACATAATTGATTTAGCTCTAAACCAACACATAAAATGTAAGGCTGAAATGAATGTGGAAATTTTATTGTTCAATATATGGTTTCTTTAATTCAAGAATTGAAAAACTTTGAATGACTAGGGATTACCTTTAAAGTTGTTTGGATTCTACCAGTTCGCACCTATTTGCTAGAACCGGTTGTTAACATTCTAAGCAGTTCAGAGAACCGGTTGTTAGAAGAAATTACTGGCCTAATCCTGTAAGGAAGGCAGGAAGGAAACATTCTGGTGTTGCTTACAAAAACTGCCTCTCCATTAACCCTTATTACATTCTTGGCAGGACTAGACTTCCTGTCTCAGGAACTTCTCTGGAGTTTTTCCCCCCTCCTTTTCTGGTACTTTGCTTGTGTGGAGTGACCATTCAAAGTTACAATGGCACTGAAAAAAGTGACTTATGACCATTTTTCACATTTACGACTGTTGCAGCATCCTCACAGTCATGAGAGGCCAGGCGAGGAGATGCGTGCCTCGATGTGAGTGATATTGAGTTGGCCACACCCAGCCAATAACATGACCACCAAGCCACATCCACCATCTAAGCCATGCCCACAGAACCGGTTGTTAAAAATTTGAATCCCACCCCTGATAGACACCATCTTCTTCCACTACCTGCATAACCTCCTACTCTCCATCCCCAGTTCTTCTTGTCAAGAGTGCACTATCTGAAACTCTAGGCTAAAAGCAATGTTTTCAATGGGCAAAACTATGGGTAAAACTGTTCTGATGATAATTTCCACCTGCATTATTCCATTACTTTCAGGAGAAAAAAACAACCTGGGATTGCTAGCTGAAAGTATCTCTTCTTCCATCCTCATAGAGGGGGCCTAGTTCTTTTCCCACTTGACACACAATCTTTCCCATCATTACTTGTTTCTTCTGTATGATTCCTGCAGTCCCAAATACCCCCTTCTTCCTCTCCATAGTTGCACCTACTGTTTTAACTTAATCTCCCTCGAAAAAAAAGAAATAGAAATAGACCATCTGCTCTACAAAGCGTGGAGGCAAGGCAAAAGAACAGAAGACTCTCTACATTTTAAATCCCATGTGAATGACAGCTTCCTAATTAGGAAGAGAACCACTTTCTTATAATTCTTAAAGCGGAAGTTCCCAAACTTTCTGGCTTGGTGGCCCATTGGGGGAGGGGGAGAGAATAAATAGTTCCTTGCAAGTAGCAGGTGAGCATGCACAAGCAGCTCCATTTATGTGAATGATGGGCATGTGATTGTTCGCGTAAGCTTCAGAACTTCATGCATGATCGCAAGTTTGGTGCCGCTCATGCAAGCAAAGCTTCAAACACGAGCACAAGCATCTGCCACTCATGTGAGGGGAGCTTCGCACGTACACATGCTCTCGCTTAACACCTGCATGGTCCAGTTCCGAACAAGCCACGGCCAGTAGCGGACCACAATCCGGGGTTGGGACCCTGCTGTAAAGAACTCTCAGCATTGTAAGCTCCTCAAAGAATCCAATTATATTTTAGAACTGTAAAAGCTGTTCCCACTCCCTGGGAATAATATACCTCAGGCCTGTCTTTTCCAACTGACTTCCCCCAATCTGAGCACCCATATGCCGCTTTCCAACTGAAAACCCGGAAGCACTTTCCAACCGAAAACCCGGAAGCAACCAAAAACCCGGAAGCGCCATCAAAACAAGATGGCAGCGCCCAAGCTTTGCGGCCCGGTAAAAAATGATCTATGGACCAGTACCGGTCTGGGGACTGGTGGTTGGGGACCCCTGCTGTAGATGCTCCAACTAAATGCAAGCATGAGATAAATGAAGCCTGGTTTGTTTTCAATCTTTTAAGTGACCAAAAACTACTAGCGAAAGTGGCATTTGATCATAAGGCAAGGAGGCATCAAGAAATGTTTCCCCTTTTGCATTTGAGCATTCAAGAAGGGACAGGAAAGCAGAAAGGGAAAGAGGAAAGACAAAGAAGGAAAGGTGGCAAGAGAACAAGGAAAGAAAAAAGGGAAAGAGGGAAGGAAGAAGAAAGAATGGAAAGAGAAGAGGGGAGAAAAAAGAAGAAAAAGGGAACGACCAGAAAACAGGCCACTTTTTAGGCCTTATTCAGGCCAAAAACGGCCCCAAAACACCAAAAACAGCCTGAAACGCCCCCCAAAACAGCCAAAAAAAACAGGCATGCACACACCAGCCAGCTGGTCTTTGGTTTTCTGGTGCTCCGGCACACACACATACATGTGCCTGCACACATGTTCCGGTTTGGGCACTCGGTGTCAAAAAGGTTCACCATCACTGCCCTAGGCCTAGGATGGAGTAAAAAGGCCTTGATCTTTACACTGGAGGAAAGGAACGCAAGGTTTTTCGGCACAGGAGTGTCACTCTCACTGGGGCAACAACTGGGCCTGGGCCACAGGTTAGGGTTAGGGTTAGGGTTGTGGTTTGGGCAAGTGGTGACAGCAGGCAAGCAAGCACAGACCAAGAGCAGCTGGACCTGGGCATGGGTGCCGCATGATCTGGGTGTACAGTGACAGCTGGCAAGTAAGGGGGGAATCACACAGTCCCTGTACTCAGAGCAACTTATCAAACATTAGGCATTCTACGGCAGGCAAGTGTGTGAAGAGTGGAAGCAGTTGTGCCTGGGCCGTATGGTCCAGGTGAACGGTGAAGGCAGGCAAATGGGCAAAGAGTGGGAATGGGCAAGGAGCCAGAGAGCAGCCAGACAGCAGCTAGGCAGCAGGCATGACTCTAGGCAAGTGGCCAAGGCAGACCAGGTAAGATAAGGAGTGATTTGGAGGGG